GCAGTATGATTGCATCCTAATTGACTTAATTACCGCAAATGGCCTTAGGGCATAAAATTGAGGTATTTAGTAAAAATTCTACGTAATTTTATGAACATAGAACCTATTATAAAAGTACCTATTATTCTATTTTCGTTTTTCACGTACAAGTTTTGCCAGAATTAAGAAATCCTTAATTTGCTTCAGATATCAGAATGATCATTTCAATGTGCACATAATTTCTTTTTTTATGGATGACCTTATCAAAGAACTCATTTATTATCACATAAAATCTAAAAATGACGCATTTAGGATATTTGTTTTATGTTATTGTTCATGCTCCTTAGATAAAAACGGTACGTTTCCGTTTTGCCGTTGCGAATGGCCTTAGAGCATAAAATTGAGCAACCTGGTAAAAATTATATGTAATTTTATGCCAGTATTGAAAAAAACAATCAATCTGATAAGAAATGGCTGCGATTTGTTTTGAAAATGAGGCGTAAAATGTTACCAGAGAGGATATTCCGTTTGCCATCAGCGGCCGAGCGGTAAAGTCGCTAAACACTGGTAGTTCGGTCCGAGGTTCGAATCCCGCGAACTGGCTGGCTGCATAGGTGTTTTCGTGGTATTCCCCATGTGTAACGTGTATACGAGCCAGTTTCCCTTAGAAAGTCCTCCACGAAGGCATCCCTCCCCTTAGGCAGATAGCCCTAGTGTGCTTTGCCGTAATTTAATACACACCACACCGTTTCCATAAGTTGTACCACTATTGGCGACTTTATCACCTGCGCCGGCAAAACGAAAAAGTACCATTAATATTTTTTTTAATAAACTTAATTGATTCCTTCTTCCACAATTTAAAATTCAGTCTTAATCCAAATATAATTAACCCTTTTTTTATTTACTTCTAAAATTTATATTTTTTATAAATTTTTCAAAAACGTCTTCGTATTATAACGTATAAAAACTTTAACATTTAACATCATCTTAAAGTAGATGTATTTCTAGGCAAACCTGCAAAAAATTAGAGGTTTTTTATTCAAAATTTTTTTATACATGAATTTACATATTGGCTCGTTTCGAAATTTGGAATCTTTTCTTTTGAGCGATAATAACGCAAATGTGGATTACGCACTTTGTTAAAATTATTTGGAAGTATGGTCAATGACTTTTTTTATTCACCTTATAGAGACATTAGGTATTTTTTGGAAGCAGGCAAGGTGAAAAATTAGCAACTCCTTCGTCGGAAATCAAACTGTGGACCTCTCAATTACGCGCTCAGCGTGCAGACCACTACACCATGAAGACTTGCTAAGAAGGCGGGAGAAATACATATGCATGAAAGTCCAATCAAAAAAAAGGAAAGGAAAATAGGTTGCTATAAATTAAGAAGTTCGCCAAGTAAATTATTCTTGGCGCAAACTGAAAAAAATATAGCAAGATAAATTTTTGAATTTCGATATAAATTTCGCATTAAAGTTTACAAAATTTAATATTTCGGCATAATTTGAGTCGTAGAATCGAAATATGGAAAAACAATTGCATGTCATTTCAGAAAAATTACGATTTTGTGTTAAAATACATATATTTGAGTACTGCTATATATAAAACTAATGTATATCATAAAGCGCGCCTTTGAGACATGAAAAACACAATTTGAATTTCATCAATCGGCCCAGTAGAACGGGAGATATAAGACTGTCCCTTTCACTCCCTTCCCCCCGCTGTGTACATTTGTGAACACTCTTTTCAAACACATTAAGATTAAATTTGAAACTAGATCAACAGATGCACACCTTCGGAACTCCCTCAGAATTGCAAGCACTTAAATCGATTCAGACACTGATGCAATATTTTCTCAAATTCAAGACGAAATAGCACATTAATTTCCTGATTTCTTCTGATTTTTATAGTAATAAATAAAATTTATAATGAAATGTTGTGTGCACAATGTCAAGGTAATTCTATGTTGATGTCATTATATGAAAAGTCATATATTCTTGAAATTCAAGTTTTATACTTGCTCATCAGCCATCACTAGTGTTAAGCAGTGGCGGCTCGCCTACAAATCAAGCGAATCACTGATTCACTTAAAATTTTATTACAAATGCTCTTTCTTACATCTAGTTACTTCTCATCGTCGAGATGACATCCGGCCCAAGGTCCATTGTCGATTACACACAATCATGTTAAATACAACATTACATGATGCACATATTCGTGCTATTCTATGCTACGCTGTACGTTTGGAACATTACGACATTTAATGTTTGAAGGGAATATATATATATATATATACACACACACACACAAACACTTAGACAACAAAAAAACAAAAAAAACAAAAAAAAAAAAAAAAAAAACGACGCACTACGACGCACCGAGAAGATGTAAAGCAAATTTAACACAAATTCAAATTGATATGCATACAGATTTCGACGGATGCAAAATTTTACATTTTGGTTGCCAATGGATGAACGGTTATCGCTACAGGGCATCTGATCTGCGCAACTGGCAGGATATTTAAGAGAAATTACGATTCCAGGTCATAAATTCTTCACGAATGTCATTCAGTGTACTCAAGTAGACAGTAACTATGCCTCGCATACAGGTGCGCGAACGATATGCGCAGATGTCAGAATTCGAGAGAGGTCGTGTAGTGGGCTCAAAGAAGCCGGTTGGTCTTATCGACGAATAGATCGACATTTGAGCAGGAGCGATGACAATATTAGACGATGTTGGCAGGAATAGGTGAAACACGGCCGCACAGTGTCAAGAAGGAAGCGTAGGCCTAGAGAAACGACAGAACGTGAAGACCGAGCAATCGTCAGAGCGGCACTCACAGCCCCAGATGCATTATTATCATCGATTGTACGTGCAACTAGTGCTTCAGTAACCACAAGGACCCTTCATAGACGGCTCGCAGAAAGGGGGCTGAGGTCACGGCGCCCCTTGCGCCGACTACCATTGATCTCTGTACAACGTCAAGCGCGTTTGCAGTGGCGTCGGGCTCATTCGAACTGGAATGTCACTGACTGGGAAAGAATAGTCTTCAGTGATGAGTCACGCTTTGAACTGAGTCCCGATGACCAGTGAAGGTGAGTCTGGAGACGCCCCGGACAGCGGTGTGATACCAGCCTGACTGTCTTCCGGCAGATAGGCCGACAACCAGGAGTGACGGTCTAGAGTGCCATTTCATTTCATAATAGAACCTCTTTGGTTGTCATCCGTCGCAGCCTTACAACACAGCGGTACGTCGATGAAGTTCTAAGGCCCGTTGTGTTGCCCTTTATGTCACGCCACAATGAGCTTACATTTCAACAAGATAATGCCCGCCCCCACACTGCATATGTTTCTACTGCTTGCGTTAGTGCTTGCCGAACATTACCTTGGCCAGCAAGGTCGCCGGATCTCTCTCCTATTGAGCACGGTTGGAGCATTATGGGCAGGGCCCTCTAACCAGCTCGGGATGTTGACGATCTAACGTGCTAGTTGGACAATTTCGCACGATATTCCTCAGGAGGAGATCCGCTACATTTATCAATCGATGGCAAGCCGAATAACTGTTTGCATAAGGGCCAAAGGTGGACAAACGTGTTACTGACGTTTTCCCTTTGGGAAGCTCTATCACTTCAATAAATCATCCAATTTTTCTCAAACTGTAAAAACTGTAATCATTTGTTTTTCTGTACATGTACATCACTTCTACCGATTTTTGTCCCATTCGGATAATCCTTCTTGAAGCGTCGTTTTTTTTTTTTTTTTGTCTAAGAGTGTAAATTAGATACTTTTTCGTTTTACCGGCGCAGGCGATAACGTCGCCAGTAATGGTGTAACTGATGCCAAACAGGATATCCTCGCTGGTAACCTTTTACGCCTCATTTTCAGAACAAGTAGCAGCCATTTCTTATCAGATTGATTGTTTCTTTCAATACTGGCATAACATTACATAGAATTTTTACCAGATATTTCAATTTTATGTCCTAAGGCCATTCGCGGTAATTAAGTCAATTAGAAATGCAATCATATCGCTCACCTGAAGGCAAAAATATTAGAAAAGGCGAAAATCCAAGGGTTAAATTGATTATCATTCTAATGAGAATGCACTAGCGAAGTAAACCTCTGCGGTGGTTTACATAATTTCTGAGTAAGCTAATTTGCACGAATTGAAATAATTCTTGCATTTTAAACTTATATTCCAAATTAACATTGTAAACTTCCAAATTAATGTAGATAATTACTTTAGAGAATTAGATTTTTGTAGCGTAGTTTACGTGAGATGAGATCACGTGGGGTCACGTGATATGAAACCGGTGAATCAGGATCTAGTACCATGAAAGCATAGGTAAAATTCTTAAATTAACGTCTTTTTATTACAAATTTATTCCTTTTATTTATTTTCATTTTACAAAAATTTAAACGATATTAAAATCTTTATGCCTTCAAAATAAAAAATTATTATAACTAACATTTGTTAACATTTTTATGTGTATACTGTATGTTGTCGCCAATAAAGTCTGCTTGGCGAGATTGGCGGCGGCGAAACGGAAAAGTACCATACATTAAAACAAACAAAAAAGGGGGGAAGAAGAAGAAAAAATTGTGATAGAGGAAAGGAAAGAGCTTGAGTAAATAATATACGTATTAAAAAAGTAACCATAAGAATAGTGAGAAAACATATATATAAGACACTAAGAGGTAAGTCCTCAAATATATTCGTTACAGTTTAGTAGTCAACTAGTAGTACCTCTAGTACGTATTGGGAAGATTTGAACTTTTGTACTCAAACTCGCGCTTTTCTCTCCTAAATGTGAAATTCAAATTTCTTTTTGTAGCCGTCAAACCTGAGAAAACACAAAAATTTTGAATAAAACGTACTTCATTGTGTGATTCGCTTGTTTTGGAGGTCACGAGCTACCACTGATGTTAGAAATAATTTGTATGGCTCAAAATATCTCGTGTTCTTCCAGTGTGGCCCAAGCAAGCTAATGGTCCTCTTACTAACACTTGAAGTCCTGTTACTCTTTCAAAATGGCAGATTAAAAACTTAAGGACTTTATAAAGGAAGGAAGATGAATTCACCAATGCTATTTCTCGATTTCTTGTAAAATAGATTTGCTCGAGTTCCGTCTGCGTTAATCTTCCACCTAGAAGAAAATATTTATCAGCATTAATAGAGTTCCCGAGTTTTTAACTAAGTGTTACAACTACTTTTGGGTTATTATTTGAAACTATAATGTTCCAAATTAATATCTGATCATTAATGATGAATACAACGTATTTTAGGCATATATATATATTTTATTTTAAAGTTTGTAAGCGGCTGTATATAGATTTTAATATGAAAATAATATTCAGATTAATTGGGATGTGTTGAATATCATTTTGAGCTGCTGAATTTGTTATCTACATTACGGGCGTTACATATCAGACGTTTCAAGCATTTATTTCAGAACATTGTGAAATTAAATTTTTATGTGCTAACAGCCAAAACTTATACTGTTATCGTGTTTATTATCAGTTTCAAGAATTTTGTTGAAGAATTATGCTCAAGTTCCAAATTATTGTTTTAAAAACAAACAAAATCCAAGAAAAGGGATACATTATACATTAATGCAAAAGTTAGCCATCTGAAGTCGCGGTTGCAGCTGCTGTGTATACAATAATAAATTAAAATGTACTGCTTTAGCAATTTTATTCATTCCTAGCATGTTACTTTTATTATAAAAATTAATTGTGTTGGATAAGTTATTTAATTTTAATTTTAGGTATACATGAAAAGTTTTAATGTTTGTTTACGAAAACGATTATTTCGTTTTTGCAAAATTTTTTTTGATCTGAAAATTTTACTGTATTCGTCTATGAATATCAGGTGCAGAAACAATCAACATGTCTTGAAGAATGTATTTAGCACCTCATGTAAATAAGCCTCAAAGCTATTATGAACAGGTAATTTATGGAAACTAGAATAACGTGCATTGCATGTTACGAAGGTGCAGATTAAATAATGGATTCAGCTTTTTGTATTCATTTTATGGGAACGAAAATTCTATGGATTTAATCAAACAATGTGGAAAATGGAAAGTATTTATATTGATATGGTCCCAGATAAGCATAGCACTAAGAATAACTTTCTTTCGAATGGCAACCCTGTTGAGTAAACATGAAATAATAACAATTAAAGGCTTTGGAATTTCTATGTAATACTGTTACTGCTTGTATGAGAAAACAAAGTGAATAAGTGAAAATATTTAATTTAATTTTTATTTTTAAATCTCTTTTACACTTTAATATAAACAGTTAAATTCTAGTATTTTAAAGTATATATTTGGTATTATGTTCGTTTTAATAGGTGTGAAATTATTGTATTTTGCAGAGCTTTATCGTATTAAATAACACAAAGAATATATAATCAAAAATATAATACTGTTATTAACACCATCGATTAACATAAATTAATCTTATTTGATAAGGCTTTCCCTTTAAATGCAATATCCGTCGTCCAAGTGTGAAATGTGAACAATTAAATCATCGATATGTTTCGCTAGCCCTGCTTCTACGAAGAAAAAAATATTTACTTCTCACGTACTTCTGGGAAATAGGAAAAACACTGAATAACACGAACGCTTTTGGCTACGGCATCGCCGAACTTCGGCCTTGTGAAATCGAGATAGTCTTGGAAGGAACAAGGCAATTTCGCATTCACGTGACTGGAAAATGTGGCCAAGACTTATTGGATTGCGCTCTGGACAAAGACGAATTCGAGGGTTTGATTGGATGTTAGCGTCAGCGATATATGAGTGAGAAATATGCGTTAGAATTTAAATCATTGAATTTATTGTACAGATATATTTATAGTTATAAAGAGCCTCAAGGAAATCTACTTCACCAACTGAAGCCATTATGACGATTTTAGCAAAAGCAACATCGGATTTGTGATCTGTAGCTGAACAGTTCTAGGCACTAGAAGATTTATTTGTTTACTTTTTTCAAGCACAGAATTTCTGTATCCGTAAATTTAAAGCTCGTTTTTTCTGTCCGTTGCATATTAAACCGAACTAACGAGGCATGATATAAATTCCTTAACAATTCATGTTAGAGGAGGGGTTTTATAGACATAATTGCGCAATTATTGATAGGCGAAAAAATTGTACGGAAATTCAGTTTCTGAAAAATACGTGCAATTTTGCAACTGACAGCAGGAAAGAAAGGAACTCCAATCCTAAATTAACAACCAAATTGTTATTTAAGATTGGAGAAGAAGTAATTAATTTGCAAGTAAAAGGCTTCCGAAATATTAATTTATGTTACGAACAACCTTATAATACAATATTCTTCCTTTAGTAAGATGCTCGAAAATGAAGCAAATTTACTCATATTAAAATGGTTCAAATATCACATACTCGTCATTTGTCGTAGGTTTCTTTAGCAGTGACAGGAATGAGTCAGTATACCATTTACGAACTTTCAGCACATTCTCGAAATAATTTTTGTTAAGCCTTAACTGTAAAAAACATGAAGCAATAAATGAAAAATAAAGTAAATTTAATAAAAATAGTTTGAGGAAAGTACTTATAGATAAAGCGTTTTTAAAAAAAAATCATTAATGAATGTTAAAAAGCTTACATTTGCGTATAGATCAGAGATAATAAAATCATTCAGAAGCTCTTTAGGATATCCTACGTGATACTTTATGGCTGCAACCTGCAAGGTAAATAAGTTAGTATTTCTATTTTCTGAATTATTATATGAATGCAGAAGAAGATGCAGAAGTTGATGAATATAAATTTTTGTTAAGGAAGCGCAGTTTGTGAAATATTCACACATGTGAAGCCGAAATTTGCAAACCTTGAACAAAATTAAATAACAAATTTAATGAATTGATAAATAAGAAAAAGGTAGGTTTTTCTTTGGCCATTTCACCATTTAGGCTGAACTGCTACTTTACATGCAAACAGCATTCCATTCATGAACGAATTATAATATGTAATATTTTGAAAAAAGTGTTGAAATTTCTTCTTTTTAAAAATATTTATTAACAAAAATGCAGTTAGAAATTAAATGTCTATACATCTGATAATTTAATTATTGATTATATAATAATGATACATAACGCCTATCATAATTCTCATTCAAATAAATTCCACTTTAAAAAACGTGATACCTTAAAGCATGTTTTCTTCAAGACAAACGCTGGCGCTCTTCTTCGCGCGATTGTGTTTTATTCGAAATTAGTTTCTGTCAACTTTTTAGCCTTCACTGAATTTGGAATCGATGTAACATGTTTCTTTCGAAATACTTTTAAATGGCGTAGTAGATGTAATAATTATTTTATCGAGTTTTTTAATAATAACTACATGGTTGAATTAAATAAGTAAATTCTTTCACGTACTTTATGAATTCTATAGCTCATTTAAATAAAAACTTTTTAGCTTCAGTTTTGTTTCTGTTGGGATTTGCTGAACAATAACTCTACTCAAAAAAAATCACTTCGAGAAAGCTGTATTTAACAATAAATAAATGAGAAAGAACATTTTTCGATTATAAATTATTCTTGAAATACCATTTCGACAGATATTTAATATGTATTTAATTTAGATATGTATGGTAAATTCATCCCGGTTAATCAATAAACTATAAAATTTTTGTAAAACTAAAATAACAGATGTTTTGTAATTCTGTTGGATAGGTTTATATATTTTTAAACAAAATTTTCACTATTTGCAAATTTTATGTACAAGTTTAAATTTTGATGAATAAATTTCACATTTTAAATTTAACATAAAATTTACGAGTTTTTTTTACTATGCTTGAAGTTCTGAAATGTGATGTGCGTTTTATCAAAATATAATTTATGGAGTTTGAGTAGCTTTCCTTGAATAGAATATCATTCCATACTAAACAGTAAATTTATCTAAACGGTTAAAAAATACCAAAATATAACTTCAGAACATTTTGATAACTAAAACTATAGTGATAGTGATAAAGATAGTAATTTTGAAAACAGAGAAAATAGTGATTATTAGCTGTAGAATATAACCCACTTTTACGGTTCTAAAATTATTTCTGGCGTCCTAAAATTAATTTACTTGAAACAATATAGAGGATTAAAAGACTAGAAAATGACTAGAAAGAAACTGTTAACAAGAAAACTGGAAGGGCATCTCTGTTACATTACAAATGCAAAAATCCTCGTCTTATATTTGATTTCGTCTCCTTGGAAGTTAATGATGAATATAAGATTACTTTAGAATTGTATAATATGTATTATCAAAGTTTAAAGCAACAAACGATTACTGCTTAAGCATTAAATGTTTTGTTTTATACAACACAAGGAGCCATGAGAAACATAATAAAACCTTTTCGATGACTTTTTTTTTAGTTTCTTCGTCCATACCATGCGTATTTTCTAAGATATTTAAAACTTCCTGATGAATATATTCAACCACCTCCTGTATCTGAAATAAACGGAATTATTTTATTGGAAAACATATAATTAACTACATTATATATGGTTCTAATTTATTTTATTTTTACACCTTGTAAATACGCTCCTCATTGCCCTCCTAAATTTATGAACCAGTAAAAAACACAATAATTCTTTCTCCAAAACTCCAAATATCGCCTTTCTTCATCATTATTGTATATCATCTTCTTGATGTTACTAAGATCTTACACTCCCTTTCTCTACGTAGTCAAAATAAGGGATCAGTCAGTTCATCAAAATCAATTGTATTGTTCATAGCCGCTATGGGCGGCTATGAACGGCATATCTGTACATGATATGCTATAAAAAGAAAATGCAAAAAATACATACAACTTGAAGTCCACAACAAGAATAAAATTCCCTATCTAAGCCTTACCCCAGCCATAAAAAAAGGAACTAATGGGCCTTATGGTCGTGCAGGCCATGAGGTATTTAGATATAAAAGAATTAAAATTAAAAAATACTTAAGTAAATTAGAACTAGCTTGTAAATTATAGCTAGCTACTTAAGTAAATTATAGCATTTATGCGGTCTTAAACGAAAGCGTATGTCTGTTGATTAGATTTCGAATGATAATTTTTGCTGTAGAAAGAAGGTGGTGGTGTGTGGTGTATTTAATTATGGCAAAGCACACTAGGGCTATCTGCCTAAGGAGAGGGATGAATTCGTGGAGAACTTTCTAAGGTAAACTGGCTCGTATACACGTTACACATGGGGAAAACCACGAAAACACCCATGCAGCCAGCCCGTTCGCGGGATTTGAACCTCGGACCGAACTACCAGTGTTCAGCGACTTACGCTAGCTCGGCCGCTGGTGGGCCGCTGTAGAAAGAAGGAGAAAATTAGTTAAGATAAAATTAAACTAGTAAAGCTGGTTTTACATAAAAGAATAGATAATTTTAAATACTTTTTGATTACTACATCTCTGTAATTTTCTTTCTTTGGAAAGCTTTTAATACGATATATTTGTTCACCTCTTTTGTAAAGGGGAGCGGAAATTGGACCCCACACATTAAAACATTGACGCCGCCATTCAGCCCCACGACTCCGTCATCAGCTTAACTAGAAATATAAAATGAAATAAAAATGCAACACATAAAAATAAAAAACTGCAAATATAATTATAAACATGGAAAATAAATAAATAAATCAGTCATTTATAGGAAGTGTGACCAGTTTGTGTATTGGTCTTTTCATTTCACCCGACACAGTTTTTAAGTTGACTGACCTTACTTTTTGGTCAGTTCCCTTATAAGTGCAAATTACTTTTGCCATCTTCCACTTAAGCGGCGGCAAGTTCTCATCTTTGATTAGCACCAAGTCATTCACACGTAAACCGGCACTAGGGAAGTTTCCACTTGTTACACGCTTGCAACTGAGTCAAAGTAGTCCTGTTGACCACGATTTTCCAAAACGAATTGGGAAATCTGTGTGACTAATTTCCACCGTTCACGGATGGGAATTTTCTCATTTATTAACATCAGGCTCAGGATCACTTTTTAAATCGGAACCGATAATAAAGTGACCCGGTGTAATGACAGAAAAATCATTTGGGTCCTCAGAGGCAACCACCAAAAGATGCGAGTTAAGTGTGGTTTCAATCGTCACTAGACACGTTGGAAATTCTTCTTGTGAGAGGATCTCTGATCCTATAACATGTCTCATATGAAACTTCATCGATTTAACAGAAGCCTCCAAAATGAGGGGCTGATGTAACATTCATTGTCCATTTAACGCCTTCGTTGGTCAAAACGTATACAAGTGCCTCTAACGTACACGCTTTTAAGTAATCCTTTGCACCGATAAAGTTTTGTTCCACGATCACTGAATATTTCAGCTGCCTTTCCTCGTCGTCCGATGAATCGTTTCAGAGCTGCATTCCTTGCCTGAGCACTAAGATCACTAACAAGTTCTAAATGGACGGCTTTCGTTGCAAAGCATACAAACACACACACGTACATTTTCAGTGGTTTAACTCCTCTACCACGTCTAGGGTGATCAAGAATGGTAATAAAAAGTCAGTTTCGCATCTAAAAATGGTGTGGGATTCATTCTGGCAGAAGATAAATAAGCCATCATTTGTTTCGAAAACTTAGAGCAAAATCTGGCACAGATAACGCACTTCCTTATTTCTCTGCATACTTCAGTTTTTGCTCCTATATTCAATTTTTTTGTTTCATCGCAGAGTTAACTAATTGTCTCCAGCATGCATATAATTAAGATGATAAAATGTCACTAATAATTTCGTAACAGGATGATTCTTAGTCAATATTATTTGATGTTTCACAGAGTCTGGTAAGCTGGCATTTCTTAAACGTCCTCCTTTTGTCTAAGAACGGATTTAGAGAAATTAAAGAACTTTTCTTTAACACTCTCGCTTTCTTTTTATGTATTTTTCTATTGTGTAGCTATTTCCTTTTTATATTCAATTCTTTGGACTAGTTTGATTATAATATCATGCGCTTCTTTTAGTTCACTTGTTTCTAAGAAGGGATTCAAAATCCTATTCCCCCTCACATTTCTTATAAACCTTAAAAGCCAAGCAACCACTCTCTGAAACTTGCTCCAAACTGAAAATTTGTTCCAAAGCTGCTCAACTAATTCCAACTGAACTACAAAACATTTTACAGAATTTTTTCTTTGCTCTCTTAGTATTTCCGCACTGTCTACCTTTGGTAACCCTCTAATCCACTGTTTAGGAAAACTCTCAAAACCCTTTCGAAGCCAAATTGGACCTGACTACCATTTTTCATTAAGTACCAACTTCTCATTCGAGATTCCTCTAGTAATCGAATTTTACTCACCACTCCTGCGATCTTTCGCAACTGTGGGAAATTTGCTTTGACACTCCCTCTGTCTGGGGAGGTCCATCCTCCGTATTAGGCGGGAGGATGAGGTCTGAGCGGACCGGTTCATTGGCTCGTAAGTGGTTTTGAATCCACGTAGACACTTGTTTTAGTCCCTCCGTATCAGGCGGGAGGGAGCTGCAACTTATGTTTGTGCTGATTTAAATGGCCCTTTATAGGTACTGGTCTTTGGGTGCCGTGTTTGTAGATGCCCTTAGGCTGATCATCGTATCTTGGAGGGCCTTTCGGCGAAATCTCCAAAGCATCACACACCATAGTGCGATCCAATGACTGGAAGATTTGTCAGGAAATTATGTATCTCACCAACAAATAGTTTATTTGAGGATCGCAATCTAGATCCTCTTACTTTTATTTATCTTTTTTCATTCTCTTATTATTTTTATTATCATTATTAACAAGTACAAAGAAAAGCTATTTACAATATTTACAAGTCTTAGACACATGAGTCGTAGTATATCTGAGGGATGCCTTATCGCGGCATCTCCTTTACAATTGTATTTTGATTGTCGGCAACGAATTTTATTATTCGCTGCATGCCCTTAAGGCCTGCTGGATACTTCGCTAGGTGGTTAATCTCCATTGAGGAGAAGGCGTCTTTGAATATTTCTTGTCTTAGCCCTTGGAGAAGTGGGCAGGTAGTGACGTAATGCATTGCATTTGCTAATGATGCGCTTGTGCCGCATGCACATTTCGTCTGTCGTCTGAAGAACCGAAGATAATAGCTGGGGAACTTCCCGTGGTTTGTGAGCGCCTGAACTTCGTAGTAGTCTGTTCTTGTTCTTTTGGGGGAGACTGTCGGGAATATTCTGAACGTCCATCTACCCGTCTGTTCTTGTTCCCATCGCTCCTGCCACTGACGAAATCATTTCTTGTTTTTAGTTTTGTTTTCATTGCTAGTTCCGAGAGGGGGACTTCCGTATCCACTTCTAGTTGTTCTGTAGCCCTTTTGGCCTCCGTGTCGGCTCTTTCATTTCCCGTCGTGCCCTCATGCGCTTTTTACCCAGTGGAAACCTACTGTGTGGGAATCCTGAAGGGTATGACATAATTCCTTCAGTGCTCTGATGCTCCTGTTGGAGTTTTTGTGTCTTGTTTACACTTTGTAGGGAACTTTGACTATCTGTGTATATGTTTAATTTTATTTTTCTGCACTTAGGTTGTGGCTTAGCCATATACACGCTTCCTTTAAAGCCAGGACTTCCGCCTGGAAAACCGTGGCGTCATTATTTAATCTGATTCTTTTATTATAAACTTCTTGCGTATCGCTAAAGATCACAAAAGCCGCCCCTACTTTATCTTCTTTCTTCGAGCCGTCTGTAAAGGCTTCTATTCCCTGTCCTTCTGGGGAGTCTTTGTCCCATTTTAAGTGAGTTTTTCTAGCCGGGTGTTCCGAGGCTGCTGGGAGTTTTTCTTCTAATTCATTAGCCCAAATTATAATGTCTCCTATGTTAATGTTTTCTTTGTAATGCTGCGCCCTGTACAGGCTTGCCTCCATGTGTGGCTTTTAAAGTCTAGCGGCATTAGACCAGCCAGGACTTGTAGCGCTGATGTTGGGGCGGTTGAGAATGCTTTTGTTATACAAAGAAGCGCCACCCTTTGAATTTGATTAAGCTTTATCTTTTGTCTTTCTGTGCCCGTGTACCATATGGGACACCCATAAAGAATCATTCTTTCAATTGCTGAAGGTATAATGTCTTTAGAAGTTTCCCTCTTATGTTCCACCTATGCGTAATCATCTTATTGAGATTGTTAATCAGGCATAATGTTTTTATCCTTAATTTTCTCCTAGGTGGGGATCCACGTTAATTTGGGATCCAGTGTAAAGCCCAGATATTTTAATGTCTCACACCTCGGAATGGTGGTGTTGTTCCATTTTATCCTGGGGGAGAACGGTGTAGTTTATTGCTTTTGGGGAAGAGAATTTGCTTCGTCTTATATCTATACTGAACTTTAGTTTATAGTCTGTGCTCCATTTTTGGATCTGGGAAAGGGCCTTATGAGCCTTTTCCTCCAATCTTGTTCTATTTCCTCCCGCTATTATAAGTATGAAATCATCCGCATACGCTTGCAGTTTAATGTCTTCTTCTTCTTCGAATTTTATTTTGAGTGCGGAATCTGCCACTACATTCCATAATATGGGGCCCAGGTTTGACCCTTGTGGGGCTCCCTTCTCGTATGTATGT